ACTTCCTTTTGATGGCTCGCCCAGGATCCCGACCGATTGGCAGACGGACCATTCTAATAGTCCTATATTCAGAAACATTCTACCTTTCTATTTTTCCTGGTTTTTCTCTGATTTAATCCACTTTTCTCTATCGTTTAATAGCCTCCTATACGGTTATTAGAAAAATCCCAAAGAATTTCATAACGCCCTTCCACTTCCCGCGCGTCAATGATTGCAAGTGCCATTGAATGAGCCTCCTCCATCTGAAAGATAATGGGAGTTCCACATCAGCAACCATGCATATTGCAAGGAAACCTTCTTATGCAACTAATTAGTAGCAAGTAATGTGAATTCGATAGATTATTTCTGCCTTAAAAATTACTGAACTTTGGCGCAAATAATTTTGGGAGACCCTGTATATGCTGTATGCAAGTGGATTCGTCAGTTGGTGTGCTGGTGAGAAAAAAGTGAGGACAAGGGCAAAGGATCGGCTCCGCGAAACCATTGTTTTTCTGGTTTCGGAGGTGATGTGTGAGCAGAGAGCGAAAAGCTAGGTTTCTGGATGTGTTCTTTGTTGCTATCACTGCCCATCTGCAACAGCATCGCCCATGTGCCCTTGGTAGAAGCACTTTCATCATGGCGGTCCCGAGTTTCTGAAGGATGAAAAACTCGAACTTGAACGCACTACACTTATCTCTGTCTGGACCACATACGCATCCAATCGTAACTGCGAATTTGAACGAAAGTTAAATGCGTGACCCATACAGAGAAATGCAGTGCGTTCAAGTTCTATTTTAGCCGATCCGGATCTCCTAAGAACCACGATTATGACGCGAGCATGGGCGGGCAGGAAGAGTTTTGTCTGATAACTATATGTGAAGAACTACTTCCTGCAGAGTTGTTGAGGTAGCAAGTAATGCCCGGAAAGTATGATAAAACACAAGTATACAATATAAAAGGATCACACAATAGCCTGAGCGTTCCATAAAAACTGAAAGATACAAACAATTTCTAACGTAAGACGAACCCTCAACCCAAGAGTCACAAAGTCAAACGGTTAAGGGGAAGCGTGAGAAGACAGACGAAGTTTTTGTTCGTCTTTGAAGAGGCCGGAGCCGTTCGCTTTCTGAGTTTCATCGCTCGAGGCGTTCAGATTTGTTCAAAATGGGACTGCTACTGGGATATGGGATATAGGGTTCAGCTTAAAAGATCGAATCCTGGGTAACATTCATCAGCCGGTACCAGTTACTTGGTTGAGAGCTCTACTTGAGGGCCAAAACTTTGAGTTAAGTATCGGTTAGACCTTACGATTCGATGAATTGACCAAAACAACGGTAAGATTTCGAGGAAATGTCAAATACATGGCTCCTCTAGAAAGCAGGATTGATCCAGGCCATCTCTTTGTTTCACTATGGTAGAGCACCGCCTTCCCATGACTGTCGCATAGGACGACGAAGTGTTCAACCCTTCCAAGGCCGACTACCACTTAATAAAGTAGTAGCCGACTACCAGTTAATAAAGTAGTATGGAAGAGCGCCGTTTGCGCATTAATTGGCCTCGAAAAGCCATTATATGATTTATTTGACCATTCAAACGCCTCCACGTTTGGTGCAAAAGTCATATGCGGGGCGCAACCGAAATAGGTGGGTTGATACTGACCATCTGATTCTGTTTGCCATTGCCGTTAATATAGAGAAATAATAACTAGTAAAGTGATAACTAACTAGTTTACCTTTGTGATGCGATTGAATGGAGCGTTTGAAGATACCGAAGCTGTACGCCGATCTTGTTTCCACTGATAATTTCAGCTGCTTCTGACATCCACCTGGAAATATAGCTATGGAGCTTCTGTGAAAAGCCTTCTTCGAAGCTGATCGGATCGGTCTCTTCTCAGATCTGACGCATACAAACTAACCGAGAAGCATTTTTTTCTCCTTCGGCATGAATTACAGCTGCTCGAGCTCGACGAACGGCTTCCGCTTCGGCTGCCATACTTCGCATTAGCATATGTGGTAAACGAATGTCTTTGATTTCCACTCGTTCCACCTGAATATGGATGAGTTAAGGGATTCATAGAGTGAATGGGAAGGTGTTTTTCATCTACATTGCATTAATAGTGGCGATAAAATGTATTGAAGCTCACCTTGACCCCCCATGGATCAGTACCTTCGTCGAGAACTTTCTCCGTTATCTGAAACAGATATGATATCGAAGTATAAAGTAAGAAGTAACAAAATAATTTGATTAAGAAGTACAGTGAAGTAAAACATGTTATTCCTTTGTATTCCTGGTCATTATCATTGCTGTCTCATGCTTTCGACGTTAGCACTCATTCATCTCCTCATTCTCCTCATATTCCTTTTCACAAACATCCCCCTCTAAAATAAAAAACAAAGAAGGACAATAGAGTAAAGGTGTATACTGGGATTCAGACTCCTGTTAATTTTACCCCAATCTTTTATTAACTGCTGTTATTTCGCCGATAGGTGATGCAAAAGTTTCCTAAGGTTGGCGAGTTGCCGGCAAAACTTCGGCGGAGGACTCCGATCCTCAGGCTCAAACTCAAACTTGAGCTTTTCGTTTTGATCAAATAGTAATGTAAGCTAACTAGTTTCCCATTTACCTAAATTGTTTATGGAGCAAAAGCTTGTTGTGGGCAAAACTTTGATGTTTCGGCAGTCTGGGCACCTTACCCTTTGTCCTTTACGATGTATGTTTATTGTTATTTGCATCAAAAACCTTTACCGACACTTTTGTTTATGAACATAGGGTAATAAAACTCCTTAAACGCCTGAAGCCATGGAAAATCGGCGTAATAAGATCATTGTGCCCTCTGGTACCTCTCTTCTTTCTTCCTGAACCTCCTTCAGCCGCTGCCACCGTATTCCTGTCCCGGTTCGTTACGCTATTGAGGTACCGTTATTAATGAAGGTGTACCAGGGAGCTGATCATATAGGCCCTGTGTTATTCAGTACGAATAGAAGATAGGAAATCATCGGAGTAGAAATCAATCAATAAACACTTGTTCTAGTTCTCATGTGTTAGTGAGTAAGGAGTTTACAAACGGGATCATGTCAATGACATGACAGCTGTTGTTGATGCATCGCTATCGTGCCATAAACTATGATTCTCAATCCAATATATATTCGTAATCGTTTTCACTTACACTTGCTATAGCATCACGTTCAGATAGCATTTCACTAAGGGTTTTTGTTCCTAAAACATTCCGTAGTGTAGTCTGAGCGAGAAGGCGTGTACTGAACTGAGCATCATTCACGTTCGTCACTGATATTACCTTAAAACACATCATTACTAGTATTCGAGTCATGTAATACAAGTAAATCTCGGTGCAAATGGTGAATCTCTCAATCTATAGTGACCAAACGGACATCTCTATGAAAAATCTAACTTAACTGACCGAGCACGGGCTCGATCGCAACCATGGTCGGGTAAGGTGGACCAGACCGAGAGATTTACCTTTGCACCACAGAATTTACCCTGATCTCCAAGTCTTACCGGATTTGAGACTCGAAAATAAATGACAGCCTCTACAGATACGGTTACAGAATCACGACTGAGAATTTCCTGAGGTGGCACGTCGAATGAAAGCACTCGGAGGTCGACCTCAAACATTCTCAAGTATTCTGTGACAGATATTTCCTCATGATTGCCTAGACCAATAACAATTGTTCCCCACGGGATCACAGAAAAACTAATAGCATGCATATTTCTATGTTGAGTCGAGGCTGGAAGCATCCGGCAAATCTCCGGGTGCCCCCTGGGAACCCAACTCGCCACGACGGGGCACGTGGTGTTACCTACAGAGCTTTGACGAAGTTCATTTATCATTTTCACTCTCTTCCCTTGACCGAGTTCAATGGCTGCTTCGCAGTTTCCATTATGCCGATTTAAGGTCCCGAATAAGGAATGCCAGGGAGCTGGAGGTTCATCTTGGAAGTTGGGTAGGGCACTCCCAACGATAGGTCGTCATGGAAGGCTGGATGTTATCTGGGTGCTAATTTTACGCAGTCAGCAGGCACTCTGGGGTCATAAATAACGACTCGGCCGAGTCTCACCCCCCATATCTCAAGCGCTAGTAACAACTGATGAGAAATTTACGAGGCCTTTTTATAGCATGTCCACTTGCCAGAGTACATGTGGCTAGTTTGCACGATTTACTGAATAGTAACGCAGTAACAAGTACACTGCAAAGAAAATTGACATAGAAAAACTTACAATTTTACAAGTGTCGATACAGGGAAGAACGAAAAACAATCCTGGACCTTTTGTCCCACCACGGATTAAACGTCCCAAGCGGAAAATCACAGCACGTTGATATTCTCTGGAAATCGTCGGTAGTGCTCTCTATCAATCACCGATACGTCAAGTAACAAACAGCGACTTACTTTATTACTTTAAAACAGAATAACAAACTCCAGGGCAAAGACATGAAGAACAGAAGAATGGAGAAGAAAAGCATCATATGAGAGATGAGCGGTGAAGTTCGCTGAAAAATCAGAAAAATCGATCCCATTAGCTAGTTGTTAACGCTCAAAAGCTAAGATTATTCGAGATAATGAATGATAATTGTGGTTTTTCTGTTTCACGGGTAGTTTTATGACCCATTTTTGTGAATGATAACCAGTGGTAAGTGTTCTTAGCGATTTATTATTACGAAGATCCGAGAGAGGTAATTCGATAAGCCTCCAGCTAACAAAGCCCTTTGTGAAAATGACGCAGAAGGAGCCATAATTACACTTGGTAAGCGTTTTTAGTAAGTAAAGGAACTCGAGTAACTTCTTAGTTATTAGCCTCACCGACCCTGCTTTCATCATGTAGTAGATGTCGAGTACGGATGAGCCAACTTTGTGACCGAGCACGCATCGGAATCTTTTCGATGACATCCTGAAATGACAGATGGTAACGTTCGGGTCGAAAACCTGTTACTGTTAGCCTGTTACTCTCTTAAACAAGTTTACCCTTGAAAAAGTAATAGTTGCGAACCCGTTTATGAGGAGGTCTTTCTCCTTTGTCCAATGAAAGCTCATGAATATCAGGAACAAATAGCAAATTTCTGTCTATCACCGGTGGACTCGATGGACCCGAGTCTTCATCGTCGAATTCATGTGGTGGCAATGAGAAGTCTAGATCAATTGAACTTCCATGAGCACTTTGGTCTTCCGATTGTAGTGTATGGATCCTTCTCATCAATCTTTTCCTTCGATCAGCAGCCGAAATAATCATTTTCGGTTTCGAGAGGACGGAGAAGACACGACAGAGGAATAGGGCAGGGATTTATCGAGTATCAACAAAACGAACGTATCAAACGAGTACAGTATGGAGTATCAGAATAGTTCGGAGGCAGAAGCGAACTCATCAGTGATGACGACGGAAGTCGTTCGTTGATTTGGACGAGTCGTTTGGGATTACTTGAATAACCGTGTTGAATATGTACACGTGTCTTCAAGTCTTCTACACATACTCACCCTCCCAGATGGGCCCGCCCACCCCTCATGTTCTGCCTGCTAGCCGTTCTTACACCACCACTGCTGGCAGGGTGGATTGATGTCGGTTAATGCATCAATCGTGGCAGGAATGCCAGTGTTCATGTGTATGAGGTAAAAGATAAGCAGTCTTCTGTCAAGGTCAAAATGCGGGCAAAACTCCCCAAACGGGTGTTTTTGGTCAGATATCATTTTCACCCTCCTGTTTCAGCTTTACGTTTATAGCCTCAGATTTGTGGGTTAATTGGTCATCAAGAGGATTCATATGTTGGACCTCCCAGGAAGGAAAATGATTTCATTCACGCCGTTTCATAAACATAGCTATCACATTCATAACTCGGCCTCCAACTCCCCTTCCCATTGTGGTAGACTTGAAGAAAAGCTACTTGACTAAAAATGTACTCGATAAAAAGGTATGGTACTAGTAAGGTAGGTACTAAGGTAGGTGATTGAGGTAAGGTAGGTAGGTAGGTCGGCAATATACCCAAACCGAGCTCTCGGCAATGAGGTTGACTGGGAATGGCCAGGATCTGACAGGTTGAAGGGCAAAAATTTGTGGATTTTGGTAGCAAAGAGCGACATAGCCAAAACAACGATGGATCAAGCCTTATGGGAGAAGCGCATGCGAATGAAACAGGAAAAACTCCAAAAAGAGGTTACACCTTACCAATTTTAATGGCTCCGATTAAAACCATTGGAGATAAAAGTGCCCTAGAAACTTTCCAAATAAATGGAAAAATAGTAAACAAGTAAATATTAGGGCCTGCGGCTGCGTGAACTAAAAATATCCAGAGTTATGAGCATCTGAAATAGCCTGAAGTTTTTACTAAGCCCCACCCATCTACTACCTAATCCCGTTCGCTACTAATATATTAAATACCAGATTTTTTTTTTGCGTACGCTGCTGTTGCTCCGGCTCTTCTGCTTGAGCCATAAATAATTTTGTAAGTCCACTCCTCTCTGCCTGAAAATATTTTTGGTTCCTTCATAACCCCAACATTCATCGTGGCTGACCGATCCCCTTTTGGTAATCTTTTTAAGAAGAGAGAAATCCTGAGGACACTTCTAGGAATTTGTGACTGTTCTAGGATGTATGGCGATAAAATCGTACACATAGCAGTGTGGTAACCGTGCACAACTTGCCACTTGTTATGCCGCTCATGTCTCATTTTTCAAGGAGAGTGATTGGAACATTTTACGCCTCTGTCACGCGGCACGCCAACGTCGTTTACGCGGCGCGCCAACGCCGCGTATGCGGCGGTATGCGATTTTTTCGCACGTCGCTTCTATAAGGAACGGAAGTTGGGATCTCTGTGGGGAGAATCGGCACTCTTACTGCAAATAGCTCACTGAGCGCGTTTTTACAAATCAAAGAATAGGAATGGATTGTCAAGTTGTCCGAAGCAAGGTTTACATGAGCAAATTGAGGTAAACAAATAAATGCTAGGGTCAGATACATGTGAAAGAGCTAGGAAAGGTGAGTAGACCTGGTCATAGTTTGCAGCGATGCATAAAGCTTCCTTTCGAAGGCTAAACGTTGTTTACAAATACTTTGCCAACTGCGTCAATGCTATTTGGAAAGCGATACCTCAGGGAAACCCAGACGTTCTTTCAATACCTATGCATGGAGCCACCTCATGGGAAAAGGTCGTACACATCGGTTTTAGTCGGTCTCATTATATTAACTTCGTTCTACTTTACAATTTACACATGACTCACTTACAAATTACAATGATTTTTGATTTATTTGCTTTCAAATGTTTTTTTTTT